CCTCAGGGAGGCTCAGAACACTGCAGAGAAATAGCAAAGGGGTTGTGTAAGAAAGACTAAGCATGTGGAGTAGCCTTGCTATATGAAAACGTGCTTTTTTTTTGCAACTGACCTACTTCTTTGAGATGGATATTAATTCTGCCCAAGGGTGGGTACCCCCATGACCTAGTGACCTCCCCCACTAATCATTACCACCTCTCCACACTGTTACATGGAGGACCGAGCTTCTAGCCCTTGAATCTTTGGAGGACTAACCATATTCAAGGCACAGTGTATCATCTAACATCTTTGTTGATAAAGATGTGGTTCAAGTCTGGGATGCTGATAAACTTTAGTGGAAGAAGTGGAGGATACTTGCTTAAGTTAGTTGGTCCCTACAGGAATTTGTAATCATAAGAATTTGTATTTGTAGAGTACTTACTAAATGCTGTGTGTGATTATTTCATATAATTCTTCTAATCTTGTGAGACATATTATTTCTCCATGTTTGGTTTTGTTTTCAGTTCAGTAAGTAGAAGCGTGAGGAAATTTATGTAACTTACTCAAATGTGAAGCCACATTTAAATCCAAGCAGACCGGCCTCAAAGTCTGGGTTTTTAACACTCCTCTGCAATGTGAATGTAAAAGAAAATCTGTTTAATTACTGTAAAAGCCTTGGTTCATTTGAGTTTTAAGTCTCCCACCTTTCATTGAGCCTTTTCTCCTTGTCATCTGTTGTAAGTTGTTGTTTTCCTTTTTCCTCTGGAAATTATGTATTCTTTTACTGTTTTTCTTAATGGCTACTCTAAAGACTACAATATATACTTTGAATTTAACAATGTCTAATAGTAATTGTTTTTTGATCTTTCTCAGACAATGTCAGAAAAATTAAAATACTTTTATTTCTTTTACTTGCTTTGCTATTGAATGTTTTATTTCTATGTTCTTCTCTGAAAATATCTTATTTTTACCATAATTCTTGATAATTATTTCTCTTTACCTCTTTAAAGAGAATCATCCTATTGTTGGTTTGACTCCACTATTTCTGTTAAAAAGTTGGTGATCAATCTAATTGTTTCTCATTTGAAGATAAACTGTCTTTTTCTTTACATTTAGATTTTAGCAGATTTATTATAATGTGCCTGATTATTTTTATTTCACTTTATTTATCCTTCTGCAAATTCCTAGGGCTTATGCCTTTCATCAGCTTTGAAAAATTTCCATGTATTCCTATGTTGTTTCTGTCCTGTTCTCCTTTCCTTCTGGTATTCCAATTACACATATGTTGTATCTTGTTAATGTTTCTTCTGTGTTTCACATCCAGTTTTCTGTATCTTCCATCTTTTTGTTTATTTCTCTTTCATTGTAAATGCTTTCCCTGATCTATGCTCCAGTTCACTAATCTCTTCCACTGTGTTTAGTATGCTGTTAAACTTATTGACTGGATTTTTAATTCCTATTATTATACAGTGGATCCTTGACTTAAGAACTCAATTTGATTGTGAGGGCTGATTGTAAGTCAAGACTATTTTTCCCATGAGAAATAATGGAAATACCCATAATGTGTTCCAAACTTCCTAAAGCACCCCTTAACTAACCTTTTCATAATAAGGGTTGTATAATGTGCATAATTTACCAGAAACACCAATAATTTCACTAGTGGTATGCACCAGAAAGTTATAAATGTGCCTAGTTTACTAGAAACAACAATTACATACCCTACTCATCATTCAAGTTGACATCTTTGCTTGCAGGAAGGAAGGATGAAATGAAAGGTGGTTACTGTTTGGCAGGAGAATCCCCTTCCACGAGAACATCAGGAATCTGGCTTTCTGGTGTCCTTTCTCCATTTGGGAGAACCTGTAGTGAACTAGGACCTGCTTCTGGCTCAGTAGGTCTCAACCTTTTGAGAACTAAAGCTGGTCTAAGGTTGTTTGTTTTTGTCTTTTCTTTAACACTGTTCTGTAGTATGACATGACATAGTTCTTAAGCAAGTGAATCCAGTGATTGGCTCTTTCTCTATCTGGATGGGCCTTCTTTACAAATGTTTGTAGCTCTGTCCATTGTTTCAGGATTTCATTTATTTCAGAAGAAGAACTTTACTGCACTGGTTGTTCCTTTTTTTTGTTTTTTTTTCTGGTACCGGGAATTGAACTCATGACCTCATGCTTGCCAGGGAGGCACTGTGCTGCTGAGCTAAATTCCCAGCCCCTGCACTGGTTGTTGATATTCACCCCTTCTCAGCTGCCATTCTCTGTTGCTCAGTCAGAAATTGCTGAAGTCCCTCTGTAGACAGTTTCTCTGAGTGTTCCCCCACCAGTTCCTCAACATCACCACTGTCTACTTGCAAGCCTATGGACTCAGCAATAGTGACAGTGTCATCAACCACAGGGTCAGTTGAAGGCTCAGGCTCCTCTACACAGCCTTCAAAGTCTCTCTCCTATAAATTTTAGGCCACACTTTCTTCCAGGGAGATCTCAGTGTCCTTAAAGAGACATGGACCCAGGATTTCTCAACCCCACACAGGAAAGGATGTTGTAATGCTCCTTCTAGAACTGTTCAAGGATTGAATCTGTATCTGAGACCATCTGGAAGCACTTGAGGAAAAATTCCTTGGTGTGTAGCTTCTTAATTTAGCTGTAACCTGCTGGTCAATAGGCTGTAGTAGAGGAATAGTATTAGGTGTGAGCAACTCAACTGAACCACAGGAATTCTTCAGCCAATTCTTCTTCCAAATCTTGTGGGTGAGCTGGAGCATTGTCCATGATGAGGAGATCCATGAGTGGTAAACTTTGTTCTCTAGATATTTCTTAACAGTAGGACAGAAAGCCTCCCTGATCCACCCAAGAAAAATTACTCTTGTTACTCAGACTTTTGTGTTAGATCTCCACATGACCCCTAGCTTATTCTTTATGACTTTCTGTTTTTCTAACACTCTAGGGGTCTAAGAGTGATAAACCAAGAGACTTTATCTTGAGGTCACCACTCACATTGGCACATAGCACTAAGGTTACCTGTCCTTCATAGGCTTGTGGCCTGGCATTTTCTTTTCTTCCTGGATAATGTTCGTTCTCCTGCGCATTTTCTTCCAAAGGCCAGTTTTATCACAGTTGAAAACTTGATGAGAGCAAAAGCTACTTCTTGATGTCATCATTTTGATATGGTACATGTAGTTTTCGGTAGCCCTTTTATCAGCACTGGCTGCTTCACTATGCCTAGATACGCTATGAACCCCATCTTTTGCTTCAAAATTGTGAAACCACCCCTTACCAGCACAAAACGTTTTACCATTATCACTTACTAATGGGTTATTCTTCACAAGATCTGCATTTATAGCCCTAGTTTTTCACAAATTATAGACTGAGATAGGTTATAACCTGCCATCTACCTTTCATTTACCTACACTAATAATATAGCATTTTTACCTCATCTCACACTGTTGATCATGACTTACTGACATAAGTAACACCTTTAGTAACACTAACTTCCTTATACAAATCTTTTCTTTGTAAGATTGTTGATGTGGTGGATTTTGATGTTGTACACATTAGTGAGATGAGTCACACAAATGCCACTTTTATATTTCTCTACAATTTCCTTCTTTTCAATCGTGATTACTTTCTTTACCTTCTTTTCCTCCCTTAACTTATTTTGTAGTTTAGCTTTTTTGGGACCATTTTGATAGCAGTAATCATAGCAATTTTATAAAGCACTGACTGAAATCATGTCCACAAACACACACATCTGGGCTCAGATTGACGCTTGTGTATGCTTACGTATGTTTTTCCAGCATCTTCAGTCTTTGTTTAGAACTGCACAAGTGGCTGGCACTTGGGTCATAACTCAAGACTTTGATTGTAAGTTCAGCCTGAAATTCCCGTCATAACCCAAGCAGTTCACATGTGAGTCTGGTTGTAACTCTAGGGTTCACTGTATTTTAAAATTTGTGTATTTCCGTTTGGCTCTTTAACAAATCTGATATTTTGTTCCTTATAGTTTTATGTTCTCTGTCAAAATGCACAACCTTTGTTTTTTTCCTAAACATAGTAAAGTTCTTTAAAGTGTGTGTCTCTTTGATAACTCCAGTATCTGTAGCTCTTGTAGATTTTGTCTTATTTTCTGATGTTTCTCAATTTTTATTTTTGCCATATTGTCTTTTTATATTCTTGGTTATTTTTGGTTATACATTGGACATTATAATTGCAAAAAAAGGCTTATCATGATGCTGGTGCCTCTGGGGAGGATACATGTTTGCTTCCCCCGGGAAGCTGGAGATTCTAGAAATCTGAAACAACCTGATTTCAGTTCTAGGAACTGTATTAACCTATTTATTTTGTTTAACTTTTTACTTAACTAGTACATCTTTGTGGTATATAATAATTACATTTTGTGGGAAATTGTTCATATACTCATATTTTTATTGTTTTGATACCTTATCTGCATCTTCTATCCTTTCACCTCTCCCCCTCTCTCTGCTCCCCTTTTCTGTCGCCAAGAAGTCCATCTCCCTGTTTTCTACCAACTCTCCTTTTTAAGAAATGCTTTAATTTATTTATATTTTGGGTTTCTCATAGAAGAGAAACCATGTGATAATTAGCCTTCTATCTGATTTATTTTATTTAACGTTATGATCTCCAGGAACTGTGATAATTCTAAGCTGACCTCCCAGGTCTTGCTCAGCAATAAAGATGTTCTTGAAGTCCAAGCCAAACCACAGACATTTTGCTCTCCCTGCCTTGGAAGTCTTGGACTCCAAGTTTTGTTCCATTAGCCTCCTGAGTCTGGCAGAAGCACCCTGTCCAGTCTATTTTCCACTAGTGGAAATGCTGCCCTGAATGCCAGGCTCACTTCCTGGATTTCTCCCTGCTCCTGGATCTAGCCTAGTCATTCTTAATTAATTAGTTCTAAGTGGCTTAAAGCAGATTTTTTTTCTTAAATCTCCTTTTCTAGTTGTTGAATAAAAGGACTGGTTCATTTGTGCAATTTACCATTACTACAATGGAAATCCTGGTTTTTTTCAGATGACATATCTCTTGTTAATTCTCAAATCTGGAAAGCCCTTTGGCCAAAACGCTAAGAATCTGACCTGGATTGAGAAGCAAGCCGGATCTGGTATACTCCATGTTTATACACTTGGGTCTGAGTGGACTGTGGAGGTAGCTGTACTGGCATGGTGACTACAGGATCAGATGACCTGAGTTTGAATCCCATTCACTTAGCTTTGTGACTGCTGTCTGGTTAACCCTGCTCAGCTTTAATTTCAGTAGCTGCAAAAGAATCTCTTACAGGATTATTGCAAGGGTTTAGTAAGTTAAGATATGGGACAAAGCTAGATTGATTAAGCAAATACAAGTAATACAAATTTGTTAAACAAAATAATTTTTTTTCTTTTATAAATAAGTACAAATTGTTAAATGAATGCTGTTTTTTATGACCCCGTGTTTGAGGAAACAAGGGGAGGGATATTTCACTCCTCCGGGCTTCTTAGAAATAAGAGTCATCATAAGTAGCAGTGACTCCTGAGAGAGTGTCTTATTTATAGCAAGTACTTGATGAATAAATAAATGAATGACCATCAAGGACAGAATTACTTGTTCTGATCATATTCAACCCAAAATCAAAACAATTTTGCCCTGTCAGAGAGGAAAAAATTGCTTACCGGAGAAATCTCATAATTGGAAAGTGAATAGTTAGCACAGATTTGTTGCTTGAATCCAATCGTTCCAAGACTACTAATTTGTGGAAGTTTTTAATTTATGAAATTTATATAATTTTTCTTCTAACTGGAAAATTTGCTGTATGATGAGATTGGTTAGAACAGCAGTTTTTTCGTTCTGCAAAAGAAGTTAGTTGCTTAAGAAAAATAGTCCGGGAATAAAACTTGGTGTCTCATAGTCAGGCAGTAGAGCTCCCTCTTTCCTACATGAAGTGAATCAGCTGGAGAACTTGGTAGATAGAATGAGTTTTTCATCTTTGGAAAAAGTACATTTTTTTTTTCTCCTTTGGAGAAACATTTTTTTAAACCCTTCGTCCAGGTGGTGAGGGTGTTAAGCTCTGTGGACTGAGGAACAGCAGTCCACAGGGCTGGTGGGGTGGAGGTGTGATCTATTGGGGTGGTACGTTCACGGCCAGTGGCTGTGTCAAGGCAATTTCTTAGACAAACATATTAAACACATATCAAAGTTTATTATTAATCGATGAGGTAAACAGCAGATAAAGTACACCAGTTCAGAATGACAAGAGTTTAGGCTTGACTACTGTTTTAGCTTCCATATTTATAAAAATACCATATTTTATTAGTGACAGATGTAAATTTTCGAGATCAGACGAGATCAGGTGTGTTCAGGGTGCTATGGCTGTAAACGACAGATGTAAATTTGTAATATCACTGGTTTGAGCTAAATTTTGATGTGAGATATTCATCAGGATAACAAGCAATATATCTGTGAAGCAAATTATCCCATGGTTATTACTTAGATGTACAAGAAACAAGTTTTTTGAGGGGTACCAGGAATCAAACTCAGGACCTTGCACTTGCGAGGCAGGTGCTTGTGCCACTGAGCTATGTCCTTGGCCCAAGAAACAAGATTTGAAGCACTGAGAAGGAATCAGTTGGTGCACTCTGATGACAGATGAGGTCAGACAGAAGTCAGCTAGCTGAAGCTGAGTCCTTTTTAGTATATTTTTTTAAAGCAAAATTTTCCAGCATGCAGTGAAAGATGCTGCACATATGATTTGCTTAGTTCTTATATTGGGGAGGAATTTTTTCTTTCATAGTGTCTGAACCCTTTTTATATGGGGAGGGGCAGCCTGCTGAAGGATAGGTGTTTGAGGACTGAGAAAAGTAAAATGGAGATAGAGATCCACGTATTGTGCAGGCCGTGTGTATGGCCAGTCTCAGAACTCTAGAGCAGCAGAGCTGCGGGGCTGTGGGGAACAGTGTGACCTATGGTTTTCAAACTGTGTTTTGAGTAGCGTGAGGAGTCAAGGGGCAGTTGAGCAGCCGTGATGGCCACAAGTAAGCAGACTGCACTGAGCAGGGACACAAAAAATACAACACGAAGCAATACACAAAAACTGGGCAAAATTATTTTCTCAGGTTTTTGTCAGAGGAAAAACCTACATCAGTTTCGTACCATATACATTTTTTGTGTTATGATTTAGTATTGCTTTTAGTGTGACCTGTGTACGTAAAGGGTGGGATTCGTGACAGTGGATGAGTCCCGAAGCCAGCGTTCCTGTAAGTGTCAGGTTTTGCTTACTAAAATCAGTCAGGGAGATTATGTATTCCTGGCATGTGGAGTCCCAGTGACTGTTTGATGTTAGTGGCTTTACTGGAAACGGTTTTTGTGGGGTTCCTTGGCCTAAGGCAAGTGAGCTGTTGATGTAATCAAGAGACCACAAAGAATGATTTTCCCCTCCCCCTTCCCTCTTGAACTGTTTTCATCTCTTGTGACTCACGCTTGTTTCTTAGACCTTGAAGAAAATAACTGCATCCCCATGGTTGAGTCAGGGCCAGGCTGTGCCTCTCTCCTCTGTGGCCCAGCCTGACACTCCTGTGGCCCTGGGAAACCTGGCCAAAGGTTTCCTTCATCTTGGAACCTGCCTAGGCGGGATCAGCTGGGTTGCAGAGCACTTTGGGATCAGTTGCCAGTGTGTAGAGCTGGACCGCATCTGAGAGACCTCAGGGATTGTGGAGCCCAGGAGCTCCCACACTTGGCTGCACATTCAGATCAGCTGGTGATGGGGAAAATGCACCCTCCCTCCTCTACTGAGTCTCATTCACTAAGTCTGGACTGAGACCCAGAGATCAGGCTTTTCTTTATTCTGTTCTAAGGTGATTCTCACTTAGTGTGGTCTATAGCAGTGATGGCGAACCTTTTAGAGCTTTAAACGATAAATGATCCACTGCGGCTATGTGCCGTAAGTTTGCCACCACTGGAGAGTATTTAGTGATCACTGATCTAGTCACATACTTTAATTTTATTTAGAAATTATATATGTATTTACTTTTAACACAGAATTAGAAGGAAATCCCAAATTCCATTTTCCCCTCTGTTGTGGTAGAAAGACTAGAATACATGCTCGTGTTTGGAAAACACACATGGTGTAAAAGCATGAAGGATGAGAAGCAAAAACCTTGCTTTTCTGGTCCAATGCCCTGAAAGGTAACCACTATTAACCCTTTCTTGGGATTGCACAACAAAGCTGATTTTCCTTTCTGTCTGTTGCAGAGTGGGGCAGTATGGATGCTATCAACCAATCCCCTGCAGAGGCTGTGCTTCCCAAGCACATCTTGGATATCTGGGTCATTGTCCTCATCATCCTGGCCACCATTGTCATCATGACCTCCTTGTTGCTGTGCCCCGCCACTGCAGTCATCATCTATCGCATGCGAACTCATCCGGTCCTCAACGGGGGTGTCTGAGAACCGCTCAGGAGGGTCAGGCTGGGTATGAGGACATGGGTCCCATCTCCCAGCCTGTTCTCAGAAAACAAGTGGGATGGACTTTGGAGTCAGATCTGCGCTCTAATTTTGATTCTACAGCTGGCCAGCTGTGTGAATTTGGTCAAGCAGCCTAACTCTGAGTTCCAGGTTCCTTATCTTTCAATGAGGGATCATGGTCCCCACCCTTCCTACCTCATAGGGCCGTGAGAACCAAGCAACTCAGCAAAGGTGAAAGCTGTTTATGAGCTGTAAGTCCAACGCAGGTGTTAACATTGTGTGCTGAGAAGCTTTGAAGAACCAGAGAAGCTAAAAGCTGGTGATGGCCTGAAAGTTGGTGAGAGGGATGCTGGAGACAGAGCAGCCTTTGCCAGTGCCCCTCGAATGAAACTAGGCACAGCCACTCTGTCCTTCCAGGGGACCAACATTGTCCCTTTGGATTGCTACTCCCTCAAGTTTTCTCAGCTGGGGGAGGGAGGGCTGAGTTTGACAGAGGAATTGAGGTGGGAAGAACTTTCCAGAACCTTCTCTGTGCCAGAGTTTCTGCCCCTATATAATTTAGAGGAGGGTCCCATTTTCATCTGCCAGTGACAAGGGAGTTGGGGTGATGGGCTTCTTTCTGCACTGGAGTCTCATGTCTCTGTAAACTTTGGCACTCAAGCAATGTTGGAAGATGCAGGCTGGCCAAGTTTGGTGCCCAGCTTTCAGGGCCTCCAGTCTCCCCTTATGTGCCCCATGAGATGCTGTATCACTGTTTCCCAGCTCCTGCTACATGAGCTTCAAATGTACTGCCCTCCCTCCCCCACTGGCACTACAGCCAGTCTATGGTACTTATATTTTACAAGATATTCCCAAGGCATTTGAAACCAATTTAAAATAATGATGGTGTTTTAGATGCTACGATTTATATTTATATAGAGAGATTTCCAGACCACTCAAACGATTTGATACCCGAATCAGGGGCATCTTAGAATTTATTAAATTATGTTAGAAGATAGGACAGATAGTAGAATATGACTGTGTAAAAATAATGCTTTTCCTTGATTGTACTTCATTGATGTACACAACAAATTTCCAATAAAATGTTAGAATGAACATATCTGAGGTCTTTCTTTGAAGAACGCATATCACACTCAGGACACAGCTAAAAATATTGCACTGAATTTGTGGATCATAGGAGACTTGTTAGAGTGTTGGAACAGAAAGGGAAAGAAAAATTCCACTGACTTTCAAGGGTCTAGCTCTATCTGGTAGGTAAATTGTACAGTGTATACAAGCGCAATGCATCTTGGGATGGGACAAATTAAGCTTGAGGTGCCTGTGATATGCAGGTGGACCTTTTCAGGACATGGTAAGAATCTGGTTTTGTTCCTTGGTTTTTTTTTTTTTTTTCCTCCTGTACCAGGAACCGAACTAACGACCTTGCGCTTGCCAGGCAGGCGCTTTTTGCCGCTGAGCTAAATCCCCAGCCCCTGGTTTTGTTCCTTGGGAAGATGTTATGGTTGAAGTTATGGTTTGGGGAGTCATCCTATGTGGTGGATGAGCCATGTGAGTGGATGGGCAGGGTATACAGGTGAGAGAAGTGAGGTGCTAACGTCGGGATGCAGGAAAGACTACATGGGAGTAGAAGGGGAATAGAAGAAAAAAATCAAAGCAAGGAGGTTGAGAAGGATAAATCACATTTTGTGGGTTAAGGAATGAGAGGGAAGTTAGGACACAGAAAGACCATAAATCACTATGCCTAAGAATAGCACTATAGTAAAGAGGTAAGTTAAAAGAAAGTACACATAGGTGAAAGTGATGAGAAAATTTCTATCTTATTCCACATAGACTGCTATAATAAAATACATACACTGGGTAATTTATAAACAGTAGATATTTATTGCTCACAGTTCTCAAGGCTAACAAGTCCAAGATTAAGATACTAGCAAATTTCTGGGCTGGGGATTTAGCTCAGTGGCACAGGGCCTGCCTGGCAAGCGCGAGGTTGTGAGTTCAATTCCTGGTACTGGAAAAAAACCAAAAACCAAAAAAAAAAAGATATTAGCAAATTTGGTGTCTTCTCAGGGACCCTTCCTCATAGATGGTGCCGTTTATGTGTTTTCATATGGTGGTAGGGGCAAACAAGCTCTCAAGCTCTGTCAAGGACATTATGCCTGCTTCATGCCTGGTGCCAGCTACTTGCGAGGCTGAGGCAGAGGGGCTGAAGGTTTGATGCCAGTCTGGGCAACTTAGACCCTGACTCAAAATGAAAAATAAAAAGGGCGGGAGGTATAGTTTAGTGGTAGAGTGCAAAAAACAGCAGGAAGAAACAGTCCTCAGGATGGAGAGACAAATCAAAACAAAACAAACCAGAAAGAAACAACAAAACCAAAAACTGAACACTATTCCCATTCATAAAGGTAGAGTCCTCATAACTTAAACATCTACCAAAGGCCCCACCTCTTATACCATCACTGTGGAAGTTAGTTTTCAACACATAAACTTTGGGGGATTCAGGCTATTTTATACCTGCTAAGATTCTGACAGGTCTGGTCAGAAACCAGTTTTTTTTCTGGGGTGCCTTCCTTGATGCCAGTGGCTGAAAGATGAAAAAGTAAAGTGAAAGTGAAAACCTGTATTTCCCTTCAAATGCTGTTGCTAGAGATTCAGAGGTGGTTTAGGTTTTGCATTTGGAGGCATGTATGCCTGTTTTCACTTTGGGACCTAGCTGAGTTGGGAGAGAGGTAGCCAGATGTGAGGCATTCGTGGTGCTGGTGTGAATCCCTCTGTGTCAGCATAACTTTGGGCCCAAGTGGCTTTTGACACCTGGATTGCAGTTGAGGTGGGATAGTCCTGTAGTCCACAGGGTAGCCTGTGTCTTCCCTATTCCCTAGGTTCCCAATTATCACAGAGCAAGCCCCAAAGATGACCAATGTCACAGTACTGATCTGGGAGAAATTCTGTGGCCTTCTGTTGTCCTCCAATCCTTTCACTGATTTTTTTTTTTTTTTGGTTTTTCTCTGGTACCAGGAACCGAACTCACGACCTTGCACTTGCCAGGCTGGCGCTTTGCCGCTGAGCTAAATCCCCAGCCCCCCTTTCACTGATTTTAAGCATGTATTTCCCCATAGTGAAGCCTTTTCTTGCTTTTGAGAGGGCACTTTGATTGATCCAGATGGAACAAAATCTGTTGCTGTTACTGACCTAGCAATGCCACTTCTAAGTCTACCATGTGATCTGGCAGCAGGGAGGAAAGAGCTCTGTCAGTGAGAGGCAGAGGGTTTTAAAGAAACAGAGACACCAAGGAGCTGGTGGTCTTAGAGATTCAGTGGTGGTGAGGAAATTAGAAATTGCTGGATAGTTTCTGGAACAATACCTGTAAGAGTGGTGACATAGTTATGGAAGCATTATCCAAAAGTGTGAGACAATATATAGTGTCTTTAGAGAACTTGTTGGGAGGTTCTAGCAGGGGAGTGCCGCTACTCCTACATCCTTGACTGAGGAAATGGTCCTCCTCTATGGGGTGGCTGTCCTCAGCTTTGGGAGGGACACACATAGAGCAGCGAGGGAGGAAGGGGACACCTGCCTAGCCAGCCAGAGCAGCCCAGTCAACCCTGGCGATCAATCGGGTGACAGACATCACAGCCAGATTGCCCTCACATCCATAGTGGCTTTTGAAAAGAATGAAAATACAAATTCCAAATATAAATTTACTGACCACTTGAAAAAATAAAGGGTCTGGTAATAAATAACAATTAAAAATTGTATCTATTTAAATTAGTGCTTATATTATTTAGTTGTATGCAATGGTTTAGCTTAATAAAAGTAAAAATAATACAGTATATGCATACTTATAACTGAGAATAATACATAAACATATTTTCCATATACTCCCAATACATGTCAGTTCATGTTTCCACACTTAACACTTAACTAAGGTTAACAGAAATAACATTTTTGTAGAGAAGGCTGTTTGGTAAATCAAATAGAACACTATTTCCAGTTATGACTAAAGAGGTGTGATAATCTTTTTTCTCCCTCCCCATCCCCATCCCCAGCTCCAGAAACAACCAAGTGAATTGAGAATTACTAAAAGAAAAGAAAATTAAACTATTGAAATATTTATGCATAGAGGAGTGGTCTGGTAAACATGATGCAAACAATTGACTGAACATGATCTGCTATAATGGCAAACAACATAAAGTAAAATACAGAACTATAGCTTTTTGATGGCACCCTCAAAATTTTTATATAATGGGCTATGAAATGACGATCTGGTTGGAAAACATGATATGAACCACCACAGTTTTTCATAGGCCTTTATGTATGCCTAGAGAAAGGTCAACTGTTTTGGGAGCTGCAAATAGAAATAATATTTATATACATAAGCTACATATGCAAGAAAGGACAGGAAGGAGCATAGCGGAGATTTTATTGTGGGCAATGAGATTATGGTGAGCATTTCTTTCTGTTTGATTCTTTATTGGTTATAATTGTCTATAATAAAATCATGAGTGCATGTATTGTCAATTTGCCAAAAGTAAAATTATTTCTGTGGCATTTTATTCCATTTTTTTGTTATAGTAGTAATTTCTGCTATTGTACCTCACATGTAATTAGGTTCATCAGATTTTTTTTGAGACAGGGTCTCACTGTGTAGTTCAGACTGGCCTTGAACTTGCTTATGTAGTCCAGACTGGCCTTGAATTTACAGCGATCCTCTTGCCTCAGCCTCCAGAGTGCTGGGATTACAGGCATATGCCACCACACCCAGCTTATCAGATTTCTTTCTTCAACCAAACTTGTGTCTTTGAAAACCAGCATTTCAAGAATTCTCTATATTTATCTACCAGCATAAAGGAATGCATTTTGGGGAGACTGAGTGTAGGTATGGGTGTGTGTGTGTGTGTGTGTGTGTGTATGTGCGCATGCATGCCTATATGTGTTGAAATGTAGAATGATCTACCAGAAATACACATGCAACTTTTCATGTTATTTGCTTAACTATCCATTTAGTTTGGCAGTAGGTTTCTTAGTTAACTCTTCCTCATTGTTGAGACAAAATACTCAACACCCAAAATTAAAGGAGGAAAGGTTTACTAGGGTCACAGTTTGCAGAGGCTTTGGTTCATAGTTGGCTGGCTCCAAGGCAGAGTGGCATGACAAAGAGGAGAAATACTTCATGAAAGGCAGAAGGCAGCAAGCAGCACAGAAGTGAGCACAGCAGCCCTATTCTGTCCTTTTTATTCTATCCAGGATACCTGTCCTCACACGGAGGCAGGGCCTTCCCATTGTCCACTCCCAGAACTATGGCAAACCAATCAATGAACCAATTTAGTAATCACACATCCTTAATCCCAGCATCACACACTCTAGGTCCAGCCACCTCTGAAAAGCCCCACATATGATTGCCTTGGGGGGACATCTAGACATAAGCTGCAACCATAGGCAATATTATCTACAGTATTACCTACTGAGCACTCACACAGCATATCTTCCTTTTACTATGTAGAAATAGTATTTAGTATTAGTTGGCACTAATATGAATTAATTTAATTTACAGAGAGAAAGACCATTTGCTTTGAGTGATCCTAGATCATCCAGCCATGGCAATGTCAGGAGCAGATGATGTCAATGGTTAGGGATCCTCAATAGTCAGAGGATTTTTTTAAAATCAAAATCTTTTGGAAGGATATTGTGAACAGAAGTTGTCTCTCCTTTTAACTCACTACATTGATTCTGCAGAAGTTGAGATCCCTCAGTGATCAATGCTGCACTCTGTTTCCCAAGAGTTGAAGCAATGTGAGGCTCTCACCAAATCTGAGCTGGTGCCAGTGCCATGCTTTTGACTTTTCAGCCTCCCAACTGTGAGTTAAGTAAACCTCTATAGTTCTCTATTTTTCCTCTAAGTTCCCCGATACTGGACATATCTTCTTGTGCTTATTCAGCTTCTGTGTCTCTTCTTGGTGAAATATCTATTTAATTTTTAGCCCATTTTTAATAATTGGGTTGCCTTTTTTTTACTATTGAGTTTTTTTTTTTTTTTTTTTTTTTTTTCTGGTACTGGGAATCGAACTCATGACCTTGCACTTGCCAGGCAGGTGCTGTGCCACTG